AGCCTCACAGAGTGCCCATATGCTTTGACAGGTAAATAATTAATTGATTTTGGCAGAACATGACAAATTGAGAACAAGGGAGAGAGGAAGAGAAATGAAAATATATACACCATGTAAAACTGCTTTATATTTGATAGCCTTATACAGGATCTGCTAACTACAGTGCATGTACATCTTAAGTCCAAAAACATTTCAGCATTCTCTTGATCCATATGCTCACATTAAAAAAAACCAAGAGAATAAAAGTGCTATGTTCTTCCCAACCTCTTGAAGAAGTAGAACTCTCACAATATCCCAGTGCTATGCCACCATGACACAGCCAATTAGTTCAGAATTTATATAGACGTTTCATCAAACAACAATTTTAAATGTTACATTTTATGCTTGTAATTGCTGCACTGGAAGGGAAGGAAGCACATTTGGCAGAGAAACATTTTTCTTTGAACAACAACGGCCTTGGAGAACTGTTTATTCTTTATTTGTCAGCAACATTTTCATAAAGGCAATGTTTTTCTAAAAAAAAAAAAAAAAAAGAAAAAAAAAAGCTGAACTGCTTGGTATGTCAGAATGGATGGGTCACTCGAGTTTCAGTGAGTGGTGTAATCATGGCAGTGAATCACAATAAATAATGAAGTCTAATTAATACAAACGTAGGAAATGCTACTGTTAGGGAGGTTTCCACTGAAATACAGTTTTGAAAATAGGGATATCTTCCTCTGCAGGAAAAAAGAAGAACGTTTCCAACTCTTTCTAACATATAGTACTTAACAAGAAAAGCGGCATAATGCAGTAATATACAACTTAAATCTCAACCGCCTAGATTAGTCCTGTAATATGACTTTATTTACAATATATTTAATATATTTCCAGACAAAGATACAACCTTTATCTTCAGTGCTATTTCATTATTTGTCGAGAATGGGAAACAAGGCAGAGAAACAGAATCAGCACAATGTTTTGCACAAAGCCATCCAAGCTCACAGTCATTCAGTGAAAGGCTACGTGTTTCAAAACATGCAGCTGAAGGTCCTGTTACAAGGAACAGCTACATCTGTGTTAAGAGCCCTGTAAAAAAAAAATCAGTGTACATAAAGCTTTAATTGGCAGCGTCTGCCTTCTGTGGAATTACATTTTCATTTTCTTCATATTTCAAAGGTAAAATACATTACAGCTTTAGATCTCTGTGGAAAAAATTGTCAATGATTTTGGCTATTTATCTGTAGGCTATACCTACAGTGAGGAAATAATCTTCATGCTGTAAGTTATGAAATATTTAGCACAACAACAGTTAGATCACAGCTTGGGCTCTAAAATGTCACAGCAATGCAAGGAATAAATACTAAGGCATACATCATTACAGCAAATTTACTCTATCTGCTGTCTTGCATAGTTAGACACCAGCTCATGTCAAACTGGAAGCCGTGAAAACATATTAGCATAGCACTGTTCTCAGCCTAGCAAGTCCAAGATCTCAGCAGGGATTATTTGAGCCCAGCACTGTCCTGGCTGGCCCACATAGCTTCAGTCTGCCATGGACTCACATCCCACTGGCATGGAGCCTGGGACTGGCTCTGCCTGCAGGGACCGTGCATGAACGCTCGTAGTTACTTGGAGTAGCATGAGGAGCCATTCATTCACACACAGAAACTCCACTTACACATATTTCATTACACTGCCACAACTCCTAAGATTAGCAAATCAATCCAGATCCACTCATGAAGTACAGCTACTTCATTCTGCTTTGGCACAGCCAGTATTCCCTGGAAGGTCTGCGCCATTTTGCTTTTAAAAATTAAAAGAGCTGATTTGCACCATTAACAACTGCAACACAATGAAAAGCTAATTAGATTTCCAGCTAATTTTAAATTGCTTCAGATAATCAAAACAAGGAAAAACAGACTATATAATACATCCTTACCGTATTTCACATATCATTTTCCCAAAAGAGAAAAGGCATTCCATGACAGTTGCATAAAAACAAAAATTATCTTTCCGTTGTAGGGATTGACAACATGAGAGAAAGAAAAGGCAACCAAAGATGGTTTTGGTATTATGAATTCAAAATCAGAACTCATACACACAATGAGAGAAAGCAAATTAGAAAGACTACATGTTCAGTTAGAGGCTTCAGTGCTCCTCCTAGAAGTGCTCACAATGCACAAAAGCTTCAAGTATAGCTTCTTAGATTACAGTCACAAACCACAACCAGTTTATATATGTACTTTCACATTTGTATGCATTTTCATACTTGTGAAAGGAGAGAGGAAGATTTCACCCTAGTGGAAGGAAAGCGCTGGGTAGGTAACTCCTGGAGATTGAACGTTTTATACAATACAGGAAACTGTAGAGCAAATGCTGTTTTTTTCAACATTTTTTATCTGTTCCAGGATCACTGGTCATATGTCAACTCTAATACGTCAGTATCTTGGAAATCACAGAGCAGTCCAGATTAGACTTTTAACTGGAAAAGTGAGTCAACTTAAGGAATTACTGTCACAGTTAACACAAACAAAGCCAGTTCTGACCTACTGACTTAACAGAAGTCCATGAGAATTGAAAACAGCAATCCACTGGCATAGTGACTCACTGCTCCCTAGATCCTGTATGTTACATTCCTTCCTTCCTTTGCAAATATATAGGGACACTGTGATTCCATCTTTTAAAGTCAGATAGAAACTACAATAAAAGTCAAGAAAGCTCTCTCTACATAGAAAGCACAGCACTGCATTCTAAAAAGAAATGAGGTAACGTGGCATTCCAACACTCACATCATCCACTTTAAATAGTATGTTTTATACAAGCATAAAACAATACCATACCCTTTTAACTGCATTTCCATTCTCAGAAACTTGGATTATCTCAGTTACTGGATGCTTGCTTTAGCACAGTCAGCTTCATGGGCCAACCTGATTCTTTTGAAATATCGCTATGTATCGTTTGTTAAGTTGTAAACAACCTTCTTTCCCAGATGTGCTTGTGAAATTCCCTAGAATTAATCCAGGCTATTTTGTTTTTGTCTGATGTTACTTTTCCTTTATGAAGTTTTTTTCTTTATAATCTGATAATGAAGCTAAACAGTCAATTCCGTATGACACAGCAAGCAGCTGCAATAGTCCCTAACTTTCACACACACGTGCCCTGTGGTACAATATTTTCTGAAAAACTGCACCCCTTTCTGGTGACTGCAGCTAATCTGCAGAAACACAGTCAGAAGGCAGGAATGGACTTACAAATTAGACTTCAGCCTAGGCCAGCTGTTTTTCTAGCTCTATTCCCTTTACGACCATCTGTCCCACCTGCTAGTATATACTTCCCCTCACACAGGATAGTGAAATGATTTGCCGTGCTGGCTGACATACGAGCATAGATGGAAAATGAACTGGATTAAATCCAACTTTGTGCCACTCAATAATTGGAGCTTTGGAAAAGGACCTTCTTGACTGCCAGTAAAATTTAAATCTGTCTCAAGTCTACTTCAATTTATGCCCACTTCACCTATGACCCAAACACTAGCAGAGATTGTTGTCACTCTGCCTGTGCTCCTTCTGGACTCCGCCAACCACTGAGAGGAAACAGTAGAGTTACACAAGACTCTCCTTTCTGTAAAGCAACTTCTGTCTTTTAAATACACTAGTACACTCTACTGAATGAACCTATTGAGATCTATCTTGTCTGTTTGCTAAAGGCAAATCCACAAAATTCTGCACTCTATACAGGTGCAATCTTGGGGTTTCAAAACTAGATGGATGCCTGTTTATGTTACCACTTGCCAAAGCAGATATTTGGGCTAAAAAGTCATGCTAAAAAAAAAAAAACAACAAAACTAACCTTGTGCAAAACTCCCAGAGAGACACAATACAAACGAATGAGGAAGTGAGGAACTGGGAAAGGTTGAGAATAGGGGAAAAAAATTAGATGGCGTGTTGCTGCATGTCTTAATCCTGTAGTCATGGGCTCTAAAGTTTTCTTTGCTGTTTTTGATGAGATTAGCAGCAGAATAAATCTTATCAAGGAGGTCAACACATATTCTGCAGCATTTATTTTCCATACTGGTTAAACCATGACAGCTAAAAAGGAAATAACTACTTAAGCATAATTCAGAAGACTACACAGCATGACACTGCCCAAAAAGTCAGGAAGAACTTTACAGTTACAAAGTGTATTGTTAGAATTTCATCTCATTTACTGCTGACAATAACAGGAATAACAGGAAAGGAACTGCTGAAAAAGCACAAGAGAGGTCAACAGTTTTGGAGTATTATTTTTAAACACACGCAAAAGATAGATGAGGCTTTTAAAAGACTGTAGAACAGGCAAAGCAAGGGGGTGAAAAATTACATGCGTGACACAAGGAATAAAGACAAGAAGTATAAAGGAGAGGGGAGAATAAAAAGGAATAAGAACATAAGGCAGAATTTAGAAGGACACATTTTGATGGACTTTATGTTTCCAACAGAAAATTTTAAGTTGACATCTGTGCCCATACATTGTCTAAAATTAATTGCTAGTTAACAGCACTACGTTCAGTAAGAAGGCAAAGGAAAACCATGGTATCTTAACTGAGCCCAGTTTGAAGCATAAGATTAAAGAAAAATAGATTCATTTTCACATCAGTTCCTGGCAGCTGCTCAGCGTTCCTTACTGTCATAGCACTGTTTGCTAGCTGAGTGCTGAAAACGTGCCAGAGCTGTGGTGCGCTTTACCGTCCTGAGATCTGTAGGTCTGCAATTTTGAGACCAGATGGAAAAAAACTACTTTTGAAAACCATTTATGATGCTAAAGTTTATCAAATAATAAAGTGTTACGTAGACTTTGGGGGGAAAAAAAAAACAAACAAACAAAAAACAACCACAAAAAATCTTACAGAATTTCTTACAGAATTATAATATTTAAAGAAACCAACACAAAGAACACCTGCAAAACAGTCACAGCCACATTGTGGATGCTCTCTGACACCAACTGAAATCCCTCAGGCACTCAAGTTCTAGCAAACAACATACCTTGAAAGATTCAGTCATGTGCTTTGTTGCTTCCTCTGAACATCCTCCAGCCGTGCACTTGTTCTGACAGCCCTAGAAGGAATACAAATCAAATTCAATTTGTGTTGCAGAAAGGTTGATACACATTCAATTAATTATTTTTAAGAGAGACTGTATAGAATGAATTATCAGTAAATATATTGGAAAGATCATTCTTTGTAGTTTCTTAGCATAATTTTCCGCCTTCCAGGCTTACAGTTTTACTTCAGTTGCATTACTTTGCACAGCTGAGTTTTAGCAGGAGTGACAACATCTTAGCCTGGATTATTAATCTGAAGTGCAGTAAGGCTATAGACAGCATCATACACCTTTTATTCAAAGCTGAGTAAATACATTGTGCTTTTACACATTTTCATCAGATCACATTGCCTCTACTAAGGCATTCATCCCAGAAGATTTGGTTTTCCTTTTTCTCAGAAATGCCTGACTAGGAGAACAGAAGAGAGAGGAAAAAGATTTTATTAAACAAAGGCAGTGATAAGGAACACTCATCTATAAAAATACATACTCAAAGTATTTTGAATTACCTATTATGTTGAACTTCACTGTCCTGCCACTGATCACATTAAAATAAAAAACTACAAGAAAAGAAGTGACAGTTGTTCTGTTCAGCAACAGAAGGTCAAAAAGCACAGGTGCAAGCCATCTATCCACAACAAAAATCCTGTTTTCAAAGCATCAGCCTTTGTGGGCCCTCCTGCATGAGGACCACCTTCCTTGCCAGCGATATTAAAACCAACAGCATGCACGGAAGGAGACAAATACAGCTTGACAGCATTTCTTGTTTCTGAGCAGCATCTTTGATGTCTGGGGGATGGGCCACAATGGGAAGGTGGAGAATGACTAGAGGGAAGTGCCACTGCTGAGAGAGGGTGGCGGAAGGGTGAGCTAGATGCTGAGATGTGGCAGGGGATGGGTGAGCATGGGGACAGTCAGGCTGGTCACAGGGCTGCCTGAAACAGTGAGGAAGGACAGAGGCACTAAGGGATGATGATGCCAAGGCTGAAAGGCACCAGCTCTGCAAGAAAAGGGTCTGGGCTCCTCATCACTTGGTAGTTGCCTCTGACAGTCTCATTGCTCAGCTGCGTTGTGCCTCAGTTGGGAAGCCCCAGCCCAGGAAGCCCCATGTCAAAAGTTCATTTCTTTAAAGGAAAAGCACACTGGAAACCTGTGGTCAGTGAGATTGGTGCCTCAAGGGCTTTCCAGGGAGCAGACTTCACTCCAAGGATGCAAGGTGGGTGGCAGTGCCAGGGAGACCTGGCCCCCAGAATCTGTAGCAGCCACATCCTAGGAGCTGGAGCTGCATGGGATGCAAAGCAGGACACACACAAAGCAAACTGCATGATTTTCCCCCTTTCTGCAGACCATAGGAGTACGGCAGACAGGAGAAAAGAGTGGTATCTCCATCGGGCCTTTAATGGATAGCAGGCTTGCTACCAGCAGAAGATAAAGCAGCCTACAGATCTCACTTCCTTCTCCCTCTGTTCCCAAAATCCCAGAGAGGCCATCATGACCCTCCAGACTTTTCATTCCATCAGCTTCAGCCCTTCTGTTCCTCTGTTGTTCTTCTTTTTTGTTTTTCCCGCTCAACCTTCTATAGTGAGGCATGCAATCACAACTACAGACTTCTCCTCATTAACTAAAGGAGGATCTGCTGAAAGAAATCAAAAATGTCTTTATGATGCACCAACATAATTTCTGCTAAAACCTTACCTTAAAAGAGGTAAACCTTACCTTAGAAGAGGGCAAGAGAAAAGCCTGCTGGCAGTGGCAAAGGAAGAAGGCACAGAGACAGCGGCACTGAAGCACCATAAGGAAGCCACCACCCAATCTAGCACTGCTCCAACTCTGCCATACCCTGCTGTAGCAGCAGAGAGGATAAAGTGCCACACTCTGGCCCACTCCCTGCTGCCACCAAGCAGCAGCCAGACCTCAGGTGCCATTTTGTGCTCCTCCATCTTACACAGTACCCAGTTCTACAACTGGCTTACTGCAGCAGAAACCTCCTGGCACCCACAAGCACCAAAGCTGCAGGCTCCTTGAGCCCTGCCTCTCCTTACCTCATCCCTTGCAACAGCAACACTGGTGGCAGCCATGCCAATGTCACCTTATGGGCAGTCCCATACTGCCCAAATTGCACCTGCAGCTCTCACAGGGCACGTGCAGATGATGGGCTGGCCACCCTAGCACAGAACCCACTGCAGACAGCAGGAACAGCAGCATCACTTAAGGATTCGTAAGCTGAGAGGTCATAGATAGTTCTGAAAAGATGTTTAAGTAATAAACCTTCTCTGTTGTCTACTTTTTTATTTATTTAATGGCTCTGGAAATTAAATGGTTTAATAATAAATCTTTTTAGTTGTCATGTTCTTTTCGTCATTCATTCACTTATTTTAATGGTGAAATCTCAGATCAAATTTTATCTCTCAAAAGAAAGTAGAAGCAATGGTTCATTTGATCGATGATGGTTCGAAGATCAATTTAATGATCTTCGGTAAGAACCAAGCTCTAGATCTCTAGACTTCTATCTGTAGAGATACACAAATAAATAAAGCAAAATATCAACTATTAATTTCAAGAAATACCCTCTTGTTCCTCCAGGAATTCAACAGCACCTCCCAGATCCATGTCATCATCCAATTTGCTGAGAATGCACTCCATTTGTGCATCCAGATCACTGATAAAAATGCTGAACAGGACTGGCTCTAGAACATTTGGTGAACCACCACCAAGCAGATGCAGCCCCATTCACTACAATCCTCTGAGCTCTGACATTCAGCCAGCTGATCACCCAGCATAGTGTGAGCTTGTTCATGAGCTCTCCTAGCTGGACAGTTTGTCAGGAAGGATGCATGGACACTATCAAAGACCTCATTAACATCCAGAAAGATTACATCTACAGCCTTCACTTAATCCATTAAGCAGTGACCTTATCATAGAAGGAGATCAAACTATTAAGATGGTACTTATTACTAAGATAGGACTAATTAAGCCAACTGAATTTTATTTGTGCTGCAGTGAATCAGAATGGAGGCTGTGTTTACATCAACTGCCAGCAGGATAAGCACAAACTTCTCAAGCAGCCTTAGCTCCATTTGTGACATCTGTCTAATATCTAGAACATAAAATTGGATTTTCTAATAATTACCAGCAATAGCAATCATGGTACTCATGGTACGCCATTAAAATAAGTACTCAGTCCTGATTCTTCAGTTTCTTCCCATCTGTGCTTCACAAAGTCATCGTAAAGCAAGTGTCTGACAGAAGAGACAGCAGCTGGATGTTGTTTCATCTTCTCTTCCATCTTTAAAGCTTGTAGGTGAATTTCAAGTGTGGACTGCCTATGGGAATGGTCTTTAGGGGCTCAGCCATTTAGTTCACAGCTCTCACTGAACTCAATGAAGTCAACAGCTCATTTTTTGAGCATGTGCCATGGGGCCAATCCCGTTCTCCATTAAGTCATTCAGTTTCACAGATGTAACTTACATTTAAAGCAAGTAGCTAATTGCCTTTGTTAACCACACTGAGATTATGTTGAGTTAATCCCACAGTAGTAGAAAGGCATACCACAATTGCTTTCTAATAGATGGAGTCATATTTTAATGGCTCCATGCATGGCTTTTAAATATGAAACATGTTGTTAAATACAATAGAGAAAATTGCTCCCTGGTTTAGTGCCAACATTGCCAAGAGAGATGTGCCAAGCATAAATATGCCCTCTGTGTTTAATAGCATGGTAGATTTAAAACTGCATCCATTACAACACTGATGTTATCCTAAAGATACATTTAAACCACTGGGTCAATGTCTCCTCAAAATGATTCAGCTGTCTAAAACCTGTGTCAGCCCAAAGTATCAAGGCATTACACAAGGATGAAGGTAGTTCCTAAGGTGTCACATGAAGTTGTACAGCTGAACACAGCTAGCAACATTTCATAGCATATGTAGTTGTTCTTTTAAACTAAAAAAAAGGGATATTTAGGTTGAATGTTGGGAAGAAATTTTTTACTCGGAGGGTGGTGAAATCCTGGCACAGGCTGCTCAGCAAAGCTGTGGATGTCCCATTCCTGGAGGTGTTCAAGGCCAGATTGGATGGGGCCCTGGGCAGCTTGAACTGGTGGATGGCAGCCCTGCCCATGGCAGGGAGGTTGAACTGGATGATCTTAGTGGTCCCTTCCAACAGAAGCCATTGCATGATTCCATGATTATAGGCATTAGTCTAATTCCAACATGCAAAGGACTGTTGTTCCTGTGTAACACCAGCATTTTTCATACTTAAAAGTTTTCACCTGTTAGATTGTCTCCAAACCCAAACATTCACTCCTTGCATTTGGTCCATCAGACATAAGAGTTTCCAATATCTTTTAGTATTAGGATGTTCCAATCAACGCTTCTCGGCTGTTACAGACATGAGACCCTGTAACCAAAATACTGACTTGCAATCAACTTCACTATTTCAATTTTTCCATGTCTCTAGTTATGCTCATCTTTTATGGTGCCCTCCTGCTGCTCATGGCTTCTTCAAATCTGAGAACCTACTTTTTTATGCAGTCAGGTCACCAAATCCCTACCTGAAAGGATATACTGCCTAAATACTCCTAGAGCCAGACCACATAAGCCCAAGTTCCTCCTACACCCTCACACTAGGTGGCTTTTGAGACCCAGTGGTAGAACCAATGACAACATTCTCATTTAGGATCACTTAATCTACAAACTGTGATTCTGTCAAACTGTTGTTCTTAGGATTTAGCTACCCCATTATCCCATAGGCTAGTTCTCACTTATGAAATACGAACTGAAGATGATTTCAACTCAAGCTGCAAATTGCAAATTAGCCTGCAGTGTATTACACATCATTTAATAAAAAAACTGGCACTGGTTCACCAAAAAATAAAAATAAAAAAAAAAAAAATTACAGTTGCCTCAATATGTACTTTATCTTTTTTTTTTCAAAGGATTCTTTTATCAGTACTGTGCTTATTTTTCTATGATGTTTGCTAACTCTACTCACCACTGGGGAACAGAAAACTTTC